CCCACATTCTGGGGGTGGGTAGGGAAGGGTCCCAGAACCCATGTCCCATCCACCCCTGGAATCCTCTGGAATCCCACCTTGGGGATGGGCAGGGACAGGTCACAAAAAACCTCGAAGGTCGTGGAGCGATACCCACAGGCCTGGCACTTGAGACAACTTTTCAACTGGCCCACAAACAGGTCTGGACAAGTGAAAAGGTGGGAGAAACAGTCACCGTGGGGTGCCCGAGATGCTTCCTTGGGTTCCCATCTCTTCCCAGCCCTCAGCCCGACCCTTCCTTTCCCAGCGCCAGCGCTCCTAACAAACCCCTCACCCCCATCCACACTTCCATCATCTAGCCTGTCCCCATGCCCCTGCGGTGTCAATTCTTCTCCCAAGCCCACAACCTCCCGCACCGATCGTGCTGCATGGCTCTGCCCGCTCCGTACCCACAATCTTGCTGTCTTCTCTCTCCAGGTAACGCTTCCACATTAGGTTGGCTCGGTCGTCATCACTACCACAGATTTAGGGACGTGGAAAGCACCCAGTGAGACAAGGGGATCCCTGGGCACCCCAGGCACCACGGAAATGACCCACACAGTCCTGCACCCCACCCGTACCCTAGCTCCTTCTCGACATTTCTGAGAAGTCTCAAAGGAGTGACGCTTCAGAAGACTTTTGGGGGGAATCCAAGGGAAGAGGAAAAGGAAAGAACAAGGGAAGAGCAGCTGACTTCCCCGGGCTTTAAACTCTGTATTCCTGGCTGTAAAGTTGCTATCCCCTCTCCCTTGGCCCAGGTACATTCGTACCCTATCCCCTGACCCCATCTCCCCACCTTGGCCTCCTTTCCCAGCTACTTCGGCACTGCTTCTCAAACCACTTCCTAAGCCAAGTGTTTCTCTGGACCCCAAATCCTCAGGCTTGACGAGCTCAGTTCCCTAATCGAGGCATGCTGAGGAGCAACTACCAGGAAGATAGGGGTGGGGGAGCGACCTTACCTCAGCTCAGGTTCTTCCAGCAGAGCTCCTCCTCGGCGGGGCTGAGAGGGCGCAGGACTGCTGGCCAGGATGGGCGGAGCCCGGCGGCCCCGCCGGTTGATTTCCAGGTGTAGCCGCTCCATGAGAAGCTTCAGGAACTCTTGGGCATCCTGCTGGCTACAGCCAGAAACAGGGTGTGGGCAACTGACACCGTCCTCTCCTCCCTACCCAAACGCCCTGTCCAAAGACACTCTCTCCTGCCCAGACGTCGGTACCCCTGTCCTGGACGGAGAACATCTGAAGGTCCCGCGCCATGCTGCCTGGGCCCCTGCTTGGCCTGAGCCCCCGACGGGGCCAGAGAGAAACAGCATACCCTCCAGCTCTCCCACCTGTATCCAGAGAAGGAAGGGACGTATTTCTGGAAGACAGCTCGGAATCGAGTAGGATTCACAGCTTCACACGAGTCAGGGTGCCACAGGGCACCGATCACATCCGCAAAGGCTGTTGGGGGTGGGTGTGGGGAAACAGAGGTTACTGACTGGAAGAGGCAAGCCCAGGGAGGCCCAGAGGGTAGAAACAACCTCCAGGGAAGCAGGCACCAGCATAACCAGATACAGCCGCCAGATTTGAGGGTTGGGGTTGCCATGATTGGCAGATGGTCCCAGAGGCTGGGGGGAGGACTGGAAAAGTGGGAGCAGGAGCGGCTGCCGCACCTTCAGTGAGCTCTTGGGCTCGACCCCCTCCAGGCACCTCTTGCCGGAAGTCCCTTCGCAGACAGAAGTCCCGCAGAGGCCGAGTGCTGCTCAGACACTGTAGCACTGCGTTCAGGAAGCACTGGGGGGTGAGGAGGGGAAGAGGGTAGGAGAGACACTGCCATTATTTCTGCTGACCAGGGACAGGAAGCCTAGAAGAGCTTCAGCTCTCTCCTTCCCCAAGTCAGTGCCACACCCCCCGCACCATTTCACTGACAGACAGGAGGATAGCTCTCACCGTGTTCCCCAGATTTCGGAGGCCAACATGACCGGAGCCCAGAAGCAGCGTGTGATGAGCCTGGAAGGTCAAAGGCGAGTCAGCAGGTTCCCACATATCCCACCTGGCACTTGAACGTTTCAACAGTACACTGCCCACTGCTTTCCCACCCTCCTGTACCTCACAGGGCTCTTGGGGGCTCCCTACCTCACTGGACATGAGCAGGAAGCCCATCACAGCTGAGTGTACCACGGACTCGGCCATGGCTGTCCCACCTGTTCCCCACCTACTCCTCTGCCCAGCCAGCCGGCGCTGTAGCTCCTGGGGGAGCTCCCCAAGCACAGGCATGGCCGCCCAGCTGCTCCCCACACCCACCTTGCTTCCCCCAAAGCCCCCTCCCGCCCCCGTGGCCCCTTCCTGAACCCTCTCCTGATGGCTCCAACTGCAATCAACCTAGCTCACTTAGCTCAGAAATGGGCCACCACGCTAACTCAGATGTTCTGAGCCCGCCCCTCTTCAGCTCCAGAGATCAATTAGGCCTAGGTAGCATCCTGGGAGAGAAGGTGAAGCAAGGAAGAGCAAGGGCCTGGGGACCCAGAGAAGAATTCCAAATGGTTGGGTTAATTCCCTGGGGATCGAAATGGCACACCACACTGGGGAGTCACAGAAAACCCGAAAAAGGTCTCCGAAGCTCGAGGGTACTTAAGTAAGGGAGTGGAGAGTCCAAGCTGCTGTAATGAGGGATTGAGATCGGAACTTGGGGGAAAAGAGGGAAAAGAAAGCCATGTGATGGCAAGAAAGCTGGAGGCATAGAGGGACATGAGCATGGAAGGCCACGTGTGCTGGCAAGTCCTCACCATTTTGTCATCGGAGTAGAAAGACTCAGAGGGCCGGGCAGATATGATGTGGAAGGAGCCATGGGAAGTAGGGGGCTCCGTCCGTATACTGAGCAAGGTGGGGGGACCAGGAAAGCCCCCGAGGCGGCGGAGAGAGGCGCTCCGTCTCAGGGTGGGAGGTTCAGGCCGGAGCGCCAAGCGGCTCAGTGCAGCCCCTAGTTCTCCAGTGCCACGATGCCCTCCCAAGGCAATCCCCATAGGACGCAAGTCCCCACTGCTCACAGACTTGGAACGAGCTAGGTTGGTCCTGGAAGGGAGAGGCAGAGCCACAGTTGGGGGTGGTGAGCCAGGCAGGGGAACTCCATGATCTGCCCGAAGGGGTCCTCTGGGACGAGGGCCTGAGGTCCGTCCCCGTCCTAGCTCCAGTTTCTTGAGCCGTTCCTCAGGGGGACCTGGCCGGGGAGGCAGAGGTCTTAACATGGGGTTCGGCCCAGGGGCTGGGTTTCGGCGCTCCTTGCTTCGGGCCCTCGGGGCAAATGGTAGCTTGGACCCCACTCGGGGCTGGACATTAACAGGTGGCTCTCGGGTCCGGCCCAGGCGGTGCTCAGAGGCCTGGGGCATTGTGGACACCACAGGCTGGACCTGGGAGGAGAAGAGAGGGTCAGCATTTGAATGTGGAGGGAGGAGGGAACCTACATTACTACACTACCTTCTACATACACTGAAGGCAGGAACCATGTCTACCTATCCCCACTATCTAGCACTTTGTGTGACACAAAGTCGATACTTAGTATCCATTGAGTAAATGAATGAATGACAGCAGCCCACCGCTTTGATTCTTTCTAAATTCCTCAGGCCCTACCTGCAGAATACAGCTTTACTGAAAAGCCAATGTTAGTCTCTATCTCGGCTGTCTTTAAGATCTAAACGCTCATGCCAAGGGCCCCCACGCCTGGTTAATCAAGTGGGATGTGCCCTGGGTCATTTAGACTCTCTGGACAAATGAGGGTGTGGATGTAAGGAAAACAACCCAAAGACAGCATTCCACCCTCAAACCCCTGTCCCTCCGGACTGCAAATGATGCCGACTAAATGAGTGACTTGCGAATCACTCCCTCCCCCACCCCTGAGGCTCCAGCGAGGTGTCGGGGCTCAGGGGCAGTGGCGGGGAGGGAGGACGGAACGACGCCCCGACCCTAATCTCCGCACCTCTCCCACCACAGCAGGGCTTCAGCCGGGTCCGCCCCCCTCGAGGGCAGAAAGGCCGAGGCCGCTGATTGGCTACGGGGTCCAGCGGCGTATTCCCTGCGGTCCATGGATGCTGTCCCTCCAGCCCAGGTCCCCCAGGCCTGCTGAGCCCCCCGCGCCCTGCCTTTGCGGACGGCGTCCTTTCGGGTCCGGAGCAGTCTTCCCGCGCCCCCCCACCCCGCCATAGCGCCCCGGCCCGTACCTGTCCCCCGGTGAGGCGGCGGGGGAGGCCGGCCGGGGCCAAGCCCCAGCTCAGGGCCACCCCCTACTACCCCCGTGCAGCCCCCCCGAGGGCCGGGCTGCAGGTTTAGCCGCAGCTGTTGCCCAGATCTCTCCCGCCGCAGGGGCCGCCGCCATCTTTGTTGGTCCCGCCCGACCACCGGCCACCGGCTTCACCGCCTCTCACAGCGCCTGCGCACCCACACTCGAAATCCACCCACCTGCTTCCACGGCGCTTGCGTGAACCCGCCCCCTTGGCTCCGCCGCCGACACCATGGAAACGCAGCCAACTTTAGGACCGCGGGTCCCCAGATCTGCCCTGAACCGTTTTAAAACCGTCGCTTGAAACTAGAGGGATGTAGATCCATCATCGTAGTATGGCCCCCAGGCCTGCAGCACACATCCTTCCGTGGGAGCAGGGGTGCTAGTGTGGGAAGCTGCATTGCCTGGGTCCAGCTCACAGACCAGTGGAGTAGGATCCAGCACTCCACGTAGGGACGGGAAGATCCCTGGAGGACGGGAAATGCTGGTCCTGCAAAACCATTCCTCAAGCATCTTGCAGACCAAAGCAGTAGGCACCCCGCTAGAGGACACGAGCAGATCTCTGCAAGCAGATTTCAGCAGGAGGCAGAGCAGTCCAAGATTTCATTTCCCAGCTCCCGACCACAGCATCCTCCATTTCCCCCTCCCTCCCAAACTTATGTAGTTGTATATGTGCCTGGGGTCTTAACCAGCTCACCCTCTCTTCACAGCCACCAATGAGAACCACGGACTACCAGAGGAAGCAGCTTTTATTGAAGAGTTATCTCCAGAAACCAAAAAGACTATGCACCCACTTTCAGCCCTCCCAGTCTTCCTGGATCTCACACTGCTTCACCTGCGGAAGGCATACCAATTGCCTTTGGGCTCCCCAAAGCCCCAGTCTTTCCCCTCCCTGTGTAGCCTTAGGAATTCAGTAGCAATGCTGTTGTTTCTTTTTTTCAGCATTCCTGATGCAGCTACTTAGTAACAATTATGGGTGAAGTGGTATGGGGGGAAGCGGTTGGATGAGTAAGAGTGATGCACAGAGAGCAAGAATGTAGCCTATCAAAGGTCCCTCTGTCCTGCCTCAGTGGCTTGATCTTTCATTGGCTGCATTTCTCTTTATGCTGAATCACGCCCTTCTGAATCAGATCGGGGATTTCCACTGCCAGCCATGGACCCAGCTGCAATACAAGGGAAACCCTGTCAGATTACGACCACTTGGTCAACATCTCTTGTTCCATCAGAAGCTCCTTCCCAGAGAGATTCTATGGGAACATGCCCAGGGAAAACACTGTCACTCCTTGTTTATTCTCAGTTACTTTTCTTATATTGCTACGTGCCTAATTCCTCCCCCTCCCCTTATGCACCAAATAGCCCAAACTTACCCCCAGAGCCATAAGATGAGCTAGTCCAAACTTGGGCACATTTCTGGCCCACAAAGGCTTAAAGTGATCAGTCAGGCATATTTTGCCACCCCTATGAGAGGGACAAGAGGAAGACAGTGTTGACATGTAAAGTTTACCATAAAGCACAGTAGCCTCTGGGAAGCACAAGGTAACTAGTAGTGATCAGAATCGAGCGCAAGGTTAGCTAAGTACTTTGCCCAGACTTGACAGAGGGAGGCCAGAAGGCCCTCTAGGCAGGCCAACTCTGGGAAAATTCCAGACTTAGAGTTCTCTCCTAAGTCCTCTTCGGCCTTTTCCTGTCTCCTGTTGATCCTACCTGTACATCTTTGCTGTTTTTCCATCCAGTTCAGGGACTGCAATTTCTGGAGCAGTAGTAGGATATGTGATAGGAATCTGGAGAAATCATAAGGCCTTAATGAAACAGAAGCAGGGTAGAAATGAACCAATCCCCCACCAAAGAGCATGTACACACTGGGATTCTGGATATGGAGATGAGCAGCTGTAATCTATGCTTGCTTCAAACCTCAGCATTTCCCTCCCATTTTAAAAGTTTTCTTTGATCCCTTCAAGAAAGGTTAGCTTACTAACCATCACCTAATCCCTCCCCTTCCACTAACCTCCATACTTCTCATGCCATCATACTCACGTCAAACTCAATGTCAAACTCATATTTGAGCAGGTCATGGATGTACCAGCATTTCCCAAACCACCTGTAACAAAGACCAAAAAAAAAGACCAAACCTCAATCCAACCTGTCCATTCTTCTGGGAGACTCATAGGATGGGAATTAGAGAACTCCGGAGCTGTGGGAGCAGAGGCAGCTACCAGGAGGCAGGGAAGGCCCAGCTGTGGGCTTTGGGACATTAAAATGCTCAAGCCACGTTAAGATTCCCACCCCCAAAACTCCCAAGAGGGTCTGCATACCGAGTCCCTTCCTTGTTGGACTCCAATCGGAACCAATCATTGTCCGCATTCTTGTTGTTCTCCACATACTAAAAGCAGAAAATAAGGTCTTTGAGGGTAGAGTTGAAACCAAAGGCAGTCCCTCTTCCCTCAAAAGAAAAGCATGTGATTACTTTCTCTCTCAGTATGTACCCAGCTTTTCTTTCTTTTTAAAAAAATTTTTTAGGGGCGCCTGGGTGGCTCAGTGGTTTAATCCGCTGCCTTCGGCTCGGGTCGTGGTCTCAGGGTCCTGGGATCGAGTCCCGCATCGGGCTCTCTGCTCGGCGGGGAGCCTGCTTCCCTCCCTCTCTCTGCCTGCCTCTCTGTCTACTTGTGATCTCTCTCTGTCAAATAAATGAATAAAATCTTTAAAAAAAAATTTTTTTTTTAATTTATTTATTTGACTGGGAGGAGGGGACAAGCAGGGGTCATGGAAGAGGGAGAGGCAGGCTTCTCACTGAGCAGAGAGCCCAACGCGGGGTTTGATCCCAGGACCCTGGCATCATGACCTGAGCGGAAGGCAAATGCTTAACGACTGAGCCACCCAGGTGCCCCTGTACCCCACTTTTCTGACAGGAGGAAAGCTGAAGACAAAGTTACACTGGTAAGTGGGAGACCTGCTCAGAGAAGAGAATAGGATGGTTGGGTCTCACTCAGTTTAGCAAGGACAAAATATGACATCTTCTGGATTCTCTTCTCACTTCTGATAGTGCCTGCCCTCAGCCCACGACTCATTTTAAGGTATCCTCCCTCCCTGGAGAACCTCATAGAGTCCTGGTTTTGACCAGTACACACGTGCTGTTGATTTCCAACTCTTTATTTTAATCCAGACCATTTCTCAGAGCTTCATACTCTAGTATCCAATTATATACTGAATATTCTAACTTCATTTCACAGGTACCTCAAACTCAGCACTTCCTCAGGGTTCTTCAGACCATTTCTCCATTGCATCAGTCTCAGATGACAGTAGCATTCGCTCAGTGATGCAAGCCAAAGAGTGGGAATCATCCTTGACCTTCCTTCTCCTCTCCTCTACACCAAACCTTCATGATGTACTGCTGATTTTACCTTCTGAATGTTCTTCAGATCTACCTCTTCTAGCCTCACAATAACTATCCAGTTTGGGTCATCATCTTTCTTTTGCCTGGCTTAATGACAGCCGCCTAATTTGTTTCCTGCCTTCAATCTTAACCTCTTTTAATTCTATGTTCCTCTCTACTCACTGCGATTGGTCTAAATCCAATCTGAGCACGTTACGCCTCAGCTTAAAATACTTTAAAGGTATCCCAGCGCCTTCGAGGCAAGATTCAAATACTCGAGCCTATGTCTCAAGCCTTGTCTACCACTCCCTGCCCTACGCTTGATGCTTCAGCAACTCTGAACTACTTATGTTTCTTTATACACATCATGCCATTTGTAACTTCCATGCTTTTACTCATGCTGTTCCTTTTGCCGTGAACACCCCCCTCTTACCCTGTTTATCAGGCTAACTTATGTTTACCCTTTGAGGTTCAGCTCAAGCACTGCCTCTTTTATGAAACCTTCCCCGACCAGACCCAGGGTGATTTAGGAATCTCACCTTCTGTTCTCAGAACATCCTAGCCATCCCTCCCTCTCTCTCCTCTTCATGTTATAATGATTTGTTTCATTTATCTCAGTAGGTTCCACCCTATTCAGCTTTGGATCCCGTCCCTAGATGCTAGGTGTACAAATGGGGCGGGGGTGGGGGGGTGGTTAATGGAAACAAATACTCGTGTCAGGAGAGCTGCTGGCTTTTGAAACAGGCAGAGGCCACCTCGAGGAAGATAGACCGTCTTCTCTTCACACAGAAGAGAGATTTGCCGAGAAGATGGCTCATTCCTAACTGTGAGCTTAACTCCTCAACTCTCTGCAACTAACGCTTACTTTACTTTTCAGCCCTAGCGTGTTTCTCTCACAGGAAGAGTAAAAGAGGGAACAGAGAGAAACGACTGGGACTTAGGGCCCCAGGAATTCCTCTGGACCACCTCCCCTACCTCCAGGAGACAGAACACCTGGAGCCAGAGGGACACGTCACCTTCCGGGAGGACGTACCCCTAAAATAACAGATGTTTTGGCCCCACCGGGGATCCTAAACTGAGTTTCTTTTGCCTCCTCCCTCCCATACCTCCTTAAATCCCCCCAGCCCCACAACTGTCCACCCTCTATGAATCTGGGAGTTAAATTTTATAACCGGAAGCGACTTCCACACGGAGCCTATTCCTAAGGACACCTGATTACCCGCAACCCTTCTGCGACGCGGCCGGCCGCAGAAGCACAACTAACCCGGATAAGAGACTGATATTCCTCTTTAAGTCGCTGCACCCACAACTCACGATCTCGAGGGCCGGCGTTAGTCTTCAGCACCGGGATTTCGGACACCACACGCCGGGTGGCCTCGTCGGCCATGTTGGATGAGGGCGCAAGAAAAATGCGGAAGTGGTACTGCCTGTAGTCTACACTCCGGGGGCCGCCATCTTTACTATGGGAAGACGGGGCGTTCGGCTGCCTGAGGACTTCTTTGAGTGCGGTCTTTATTTTCCTGTAACGAAAATAATTTGTCACCTGGTCACTTGCTTGTGGGTGCAACGGGAAAAGCAGAGTGAAGTTGATTGCTCAATATGGTACCAATCATTTGAAAAAAACCGCACACTGCCCAAAAGGTGACTTCCGCTCATGCTCAGAGAAGTGATTCCGAAAACTCGGAAGCCTTCCCAAACTCGGGAGAGTTGTTAGATTTTCGGCTGTCCTAGGCACCGTGCCAGGCACTGTCTTCCTGAAACGCGCTGTTCACATATTTGAAGAAGCTTCGTTAGCTTCTGTGTAGTTTGCCTCAGGTAGCAGAGGCAAAGAAGCCATCCAATAGAAGGGCATTAAACTCGTGCTAATTGTTGGGAACTTTGGAAAATCAAAGTATAGTAGACAGCCTGGGTCCTGAAGAATTAACAGTATCGAATTAGAGAATTCTTAATCAGTGCTAAAGGAGTTTAGGGATCGCAGGAAAATTTGCCTTAGTCTAGCCTAGACATTTTTTTTTTTTTTTTTTGCTCCGGAATCAAATCCCCTAGTGAGGATTCTAGTACACGGCACGCAGTAGGTACCTGGCAATGCTTTTGCAGAATTTTGTATCTTCCTGTTGCTTTTTCTACCTAAATACATTAGTTTTGGCTTTAATTTATATTTCAATGGAGAAATATAGGTCAAAGGGTGCAAAATCTCTAATAAAAATGAATTCTGAGGACCTAATGTAGAGCATGGTAACTATAATTAGTAATATAGTATTACATATCTGAAAGTTGCTGAGAGGTTTATTCTGTTAATCATCCAGCCTGTAGCAGTAATTTTGGATCAGATTCTATTAATCATCAAATTCTATAGTCCATCTCCAAAGCTGTATCTTAATTATAAGCATGCTATATCTTAATTTCTAATGGCTGTAACTTCCAGGACAGTGTTGAATAAACGTTTTGAGAGCACAGATCCTTGTCTTACTCTGATTTTAGGGGGGAAAGCATCGTCTCTTTTCATTAAGTATGATGAGAACTGTAAGCTCTTCAGATGCTCTTCGTTGGGTTAAGAAAATTCCTTTCTATCTTGGTGTGAGGGTTTTTATCATAAATGGATGTTGGATTTTTTCCAAATGCTTTTCCGTGTTCATTAGAATAATAACAATTTTTTGTCTTTTGTTAGAATGCTATATGTTACTTTCTTTAAAACATTATATGTTGGGGGGTGCCTGGGAACCTCAGTTGGTTGGGGGTCTGACTCTTGGTTTCAGTTCAGGTCTTGGTCTCCAGGCAGTGGGATCAAGTGAGTGCCTGGCACCAAGTCTGCTTGTCCCTCTTTATCCCTCTCCCTCCACCTCTTGTTCTCTCTCTCTCTCAAATAAATAAATAAATAAATAAAATCTTTTAAAAAATTATATTGGAGAAAGCTAAGGCAAAACTTTATAATATCTCACTAGAGACCACTCTTCTAAGTGAAATGAAAATTCATTCGCTTTCAAGTGTAGGCACTGTTGTGTGGTACAGAGTACAGAGATTTGGAATGAGTCTTTTGATTTCATTGTCACAAGACTTTGCTGATGGGGTGAGGGAACAATGGAGAAATATAGGTCAAAGGGTGCAAAATTTCTAATAAGAAGAATAAATTCTGAGGACCTAATGTAGAGCATGGTAACTATAGTTAGTAATATGGTATTGTATATTTGAAAGTTGCTGACAAAGACGAAAAGACATAGTCTTTGAGGGGAAGAAACTTATATGTAGACAATCACCATAAAACAAAAAATCTCTGTTCTGGAAACATACAAAGTACATTCTGAGTAACAGTGCCTGAGAGAATAGGGTAAGGCTGATGTCATTTGAACTAGAACTCTTAGGATGAGTATACTGGATACACGGACAAGGAGAGAGTGGGGAAATCTGTCATTCTAGAAAGACAGCACAAGTAAGGCAGGAAGGCATGAGAAAATATTTCATTTGAGGGAGTCACAAGCAGGGGGAGTGGGAGAGGAAGAGCTTCCTGCTGAGCAGGGAGCTGGATGCAGAACCCTGGGATCATGACCTAAGCTGAAGGCACTCAGCAACTGAGCCACCCAGGGGCCCCAAATATTTGCTTTTGAATAGCTAACCCATGCACCTGCTCAAAATTCAAAGGTACAAAAGGATATAAAGTCAAATGTTAGTCTCCCTCTTATCCCATTTCTTGGCTGCTTAGTTCCCTTCTCCAGGGGCCCCTCTCCTCCAGCTAGTTTTTTGTACATCCCTCCAAATATATTCTATGCACTAATCAATATCTATACACATATATACTCTTTTAAAACTTTTACACAAATGGGAGCACACTATACATATTTCTGCACTTTCCTTTTCTCACTGAATAATATATCTTGGAGGCTGTTCCATATTAATGCTTTTAACACTATCTCATTTCCCTTTTCCTTCTCTCTTTCCCCCCTCTTCTTCTGCAGTAGATACATCCCACTGTCGGGATCTATCACCATAAGTTATTCAACCAGACCCTAGTGAATAGATAGATTGTGTTCAGTTTCATGTTATTACAAACAGTTCTGTAGTTAATAGCCTTGTCCACCCACTATTTTGTACATGTGCAATAAATACTCAGATATGGAACTGTTGCCTCAAAAGATGTGTGCATTTTAAATTTTGTTAAATATTGCCAAATTGCCCTCCATAAAGATTAAACCAATTTGTATTACCATTGGCAATTATTATTGGCAATAAATAAAATAACAAGGTTTCCTCCAAAACAAATCATTTTTAGTAACAGTTGTTTTTGCCAATTCCTTGATTGAAGTGGAATCTCAAGATCGTTTTTTGTTTTGTTTTGTTTTGTTTTAAATAAGTAAGCTCTGTGCCCAACGTGGGGCTTGAACTCAGGATCTCAAGATCAAGGGTCACATGCTCTACCAACTGAGCCAGTGAGGCCCCCTGGCTAAGTGTCTTCTCAGAGGTTTAGCATTCATTTGTATTTCCTCTTTTCTTTTCTATAAATTCTTATATCCTTTGCCTCTTTTAAATTACTATTCATTTTTTCTTAGTGATTTGTGTGAGGGTTTGTTGTTATTGTATCAAAGCAATTAGACATTTGTGATGAGTTGTAAATAATCTTCCCAGTTTATTATCAGTCTTTGCTTCTCTTCACAGTATTTTTTAAAGATTGTATTTATTGTGGTATCTGGGTGGCTCAGTCATTAAGCATCTGCCTTTGGCTCAGGTCATGATCCCAGGGTCCTGGGATCGAGCCCTGCATCAGGCTCCCTACTCGGCAGGAAGCCTGCTTCTCCCTTTCCCAGTTCCTCTGCTTGCGTTCCCCCTCTTGCTGTGTCTCTCTCTGTCAAGTAAATAAATAAAATATTTTTGTAAAAAGGATTTTATTTATTTGAGATAGAGCACACAAGCACAGAAGGAGAGGGAAAAACAGACTCTGCATTGGGCAGGGAGCTGGACGGAAGCAGGGCTCCATCCCAGGACTCTGAGATCATAAGTGGAGCTAAAACCAAGAGTCAGATGCTTTACTGACTGAGCCACCCTGGAGCCCCTTCATGATATCTTTAACCATGTATAAATTTTTCATATATGAGGTTGAGTTTATCAGGATTTTTGCTTAAAGCTTCGGGTATGTCACCGTAATAGTCTAGATTATCTTATAAAAATTCCCTCAGGGCACTTGGCTGGCTCAGTGTTTATAGAGAGTGACCCTTGATCTCAGGATCGTGAGTTCAAGCCCCACGTTGGGTATAGAGACTACACCACAGTTACAACAACAAAAAGATTGTCCCATGTTTTCCTCTACTGCTTTCCCCCCCTAAAACGAAAATGGCTTTGTTTCTTGTGCCTTACTTAAATGATACAGAAAAATGAAATTAATTAAAAATCCTACCCCAAGTGAGGCACCTGGGTGGCTCAGTGGGTTAAGCCTCTACCTTTGGCTCAGGTCATGATCTCAGGGTCCTGAGATTGAGCCCCACATCAGGCTCTCTGCTCAGAGGGGAGCCTGCTTCCTCCTCTCTCTCTCTGCCTGCCTCTCTGCCTACTTGTGATCTCTCTGTCCAATAAGTAAATCTTTAAAAAAAAATCCTACCCCAAGAGATTAAAAACTGCTATCATTTTGAGTATATATCCTTTCAGACATCTTTTTGTGTGCACTTTCTTTTTTCCACTCTCTTTGGATTTAATTTACTATTCTCAGTTCTTGAGATAATGCAAGCCTTGTACATTTTCAGCTTTTCTTTTTTCCTAATATGTGCACTTAAGACTACACATTTTCTTGTTAAAACACAGCTGTAGCCCCATCCTGTAAACTTTGGCACATACTATTTTTATTATCATTGAGTTCCAATTATTCTCTAACTTCAGTCATAATTTGGGGGGTTATTTAGAAGTGTTTCCTAATTTCTAAATAGACTTTCATAGTTACCTTGTTACTGATTTGTAGCTGAACTGTATGAGAGCAAGAAACACTGTATATTTTAAATCCTCCAAAATTTGTTGAAATTTGCTTTATAGCACAATATGTCAGTTTTTAAAATGTCCCAAATGTGCTTAAAAATAATTTGTAGGGTTGGGGATGAGCTAAGTGGCTGATGGGTATTAAGGCAGTTGTGATGAGCGCTGGGTATTATAGGTAGGTAATGAATCACTAAATTCTACTTCTGAAACCAATATTACACTATATGTTTATTAACTGAAATTTTAAAAAGACGAAACAAAAAGGAAGATAATTTATAATTCGCAATTGTCGGTTATAGTGAACTATATATGCTTGCTGAATTCAGTTTGCTGCTCTCCTTATTTGTTTATATCCTTACTATTTTTTTTTTTTTTGTCCACTGATTCTAAAAGAAATATTCTCTATCAGTTGAGGTATGCTCTTTACCATGAGATGTGTTCGGTCTCCTATAATGACTATAATTTATCTATTTTTTTTTCCTTGTAGCTCTGTTCCTCCATATAATTTGAAAGTATTAAATGCATACAAATTTACAGGTTTCTGGTAAGTTGAACTTATTGATATGAAATGCCCTTTATTTCTAGTACTGTTTTTGCCTTGAAATCTACTGTATCTGTCATTACATAATTTTCTTTTGTTTTCTGTTTGCATGGTGGGTCTTTTGCCATTCTTTTACTTTTTCGTTTTGTGCCCTTATGTTTTAGTTTCTAGTACTTTACATTAATTGTGATTGGCTATTAATGTATATGGAATTAGTTTTGGTGAAGGGTATGATGTAGAGATCCAACATTTTTTCCCTAGATGTTGATTCAGTTGTCCTAACACAAATGCCTTGCACTGATCTAAGGTAACACCTTTATCGACACAAAATTTCTATATGTATTTAGGTCTTTTCACTTCTATTCTGTTCCATCAAGTTGTCCATAGGGTGTTATCCCATTGTTTTAATTATTGTAGCTTTGGAATACATTTTTTTCTATCTGGTTGGGCTAGCTTCTATTTGTTACTTTTCCTTTCCAGGACTTTCCTTTCAGTTCTTCTTTATTTCTCCATGTGAACTTAAAA